ATATTTCACGGACAGCTGTCAGTAACTGGGGTATAACCTAAGCCTTATACAGCATGTTATACTATACTGAAAACAGCATTAAACTATACAGCACAGAAGAGGCTCATTAACTGATACCTATCCAAAATTCTCATGGGCACAGATGCCAACTGGTGAAGTAGGTCACATTTTAGACAGGCTCCTAAAAATCAAATCACAGTTTGATGAGGTGATATGATGGAACGTGCAGAACCCACCCACCCACAGCCAAGTGTAGGTTAAATAAACCCTGTTTTGCTGTATCACTAAAGGAACATCAAAACATGTAAAAGAAATAAAAAGTCAAGCTAAACAGGCAAGAAGAGCCCGTCTTCAGCCTTTGACTCCCAGAAAAAGCAAGGCTGGAAGAGAGGGAACAACTGAATGACTGTTGCTTTCTGAGGCCCTCTTGAGGGACAGAAGGACTCAACGTGGAAGTGTTACCTTGTAGAGAATCTGTAATAATCTTAACACCGCCTACACTAAAGAAGATTGAGTATGAGTGCCTGAAAGGATGAACGCTCAAGGTCTCAAATGGTCTTTTATACATTAAAACATTCTGTTGACCATATGGATACAGAATCCTGATAAACCTGAAATTCTTCCCATTTTACTCTGCAGAAGTACTCTACTTCTTTCTTCAGGAAAAATAATTACTTGCCAAGAATAATGTGTTACAGAAAAAAAGTCCATGAATTTTAAAGCATCACATGCTGTAACACCTACAGCAAGTCCTTCAAGTCATAGATAGTACTTCGGTCTAACAATCTTCAACTGTGCCATTACGGCTTTGTGAAACTAAATACATGATCCTAATATTTCAAGAATTCAAAGCACACACTGAATGAAAACCTCACTTTTTTCAATATCCCTATATAGTCCATCTAAGCTGTGCAAGAGCACTAGCTTTCACTCAGATAACTATGAAAAAAATAATATGAATGAAACCTTGTTGTACCAACAGAACAAAACCTCTCTCATCTGATGTGAAAAGGACCATGTTCTCCAAGAGCAAGAAACGTCAAAGAATTTTGAATGGTAATTTATATTTCTGAAATCATAGGAAAAGGTTATTTTGGAATTTCAACAGAGGGTACATTTTTTGCTTCCATGAGGCTTACAGGAAATATTACACTTACCACCTCTTGAGTAAATGTCTTTTACTAAAAGGTCAGGAGATCAGCAACCATAAGCAAAATTTCACTGTCTTCACCAACATCAACTATGTTGACCTTCCATATTTCAGAGGGATGCAGAAATTAATCTAAAAAACCCATTAGACGAATCGTACCTGATGCTGATAAGCAAGTAAGTTTTTTCAGACCTGTGTATGTTCTGAAGACATTGAGTGTTTCAAACAATCCTGTTTTCCCTATTCACCTCTTTTTTCCAAAACTGTAAAACAGATTCAAACAGCAAAAGAGTTGAAGATCACAGAGGTTGAGTCCCAGCTCAGAAATGCCACACCAATTATCTGTTAAAACTGGTTACAAGCCATCTGTTACAAGATCTTCTCCCTGAATTTTAAAAGTACCAAATGGCAGGGAATGGACCATCCCCAAGTATACTACCGATAGTTAGAAAACTAAGTTTACATTAAAGCGAAACTCAACTTCTAATTCCAGCTATTCAAAAGTCTGTGATTCTGCCAAGATGGCTGAAAAAACGTATTCCTTACACCCATATCAGTTACTAGTTACCAAGTAGCTACAAAAGAAAAAAATTACAACAACAAAAACCCATGGCAAGAAATAGGTAAAGCAGCCAACAATTTATTGGTAGGTAGACTGTTAAAAAATTGAATAGGAAAAAAAAAAAGGGGGGGGGGGGGGAACAGACAAAGAAATATTAACAAAAATTAAAAAGAAAAATGGGACCAACAAAAACACATAAAAGGGACAAAAAATTAAAAAAAGAATAGGTACAGGGCAGCAACAGAGCATTCACATCTACAATAACATGTACAGTGAAAGACATAAGGGCATGTATAAAAAAAAATTCTAGCATTCATTTAAGATACCAGTGCTCTCCCTCCTACTATGTTTTCACACAAGCGTTCCAGCAGCAACAGAAGATACCAAGCTCTGGGCATATAAAAGCTATTCCTATGCCAAAATTGAACAGGAGGCAACTGTAAGGGGAAGATGTCTCATCTTAATCATTTACAACATTACCATCTACCCAATACTGAAAATACGTAGCAGTAGATCTGTTTCTTCCCTTACACAGCTTCTGAGCTGTGTAGAATTAGCTTTCCTTCTAGCACAGCAAAAACACCCCTCCTGTCATGCGTATCGGGGACACAGTGGGTCAAGACTAGTTTCACGGTGAGCCTACATCACAATAAATACCATCTGTCATATTCAAGGAGGCAAGTGAATTACTAAAAAGTGAACTAAGATATATACATCAGCTGTAACTCCATAAAATGGAATTACTTATTCTAAGTTGGTTTAGTATGTATTTGACAGATTTTTAGGGTGGTTTTTTGTAATTTTTATTTGTTAAAATAGTATTTCTACATAGGCACAATAAAGAGAAGCCATTTTACATTGTTCTTTCAGAACACTTCCAAAACGCTGGTGCTGTAACTTCACCTCTGTCATGCCACAAGCACCTGTCAATGGTGAAATTACATGAAGCAGTGAGTTTCTGGCAACTTGCTACTGCTTAAATACTCTTGCTCTTCCCCCATCACACCTCTTCTCCCATGTTCCTCCCTATCTATGCTGTACCTGTCATTGCATCTGCTCCAAAGCACATCATATTCTCCACTGAACCAATTCAGCTCTGTTGTAAAGCAAAAAATTAGGTAATTTTCCACTGAAAAAAAATGTTTTTCTAAATTAAAGACATTATTTACTTACAGTGGGAAGCAAACCATCCAAACCCAACCATGAATGATATCTCTTAATTGCCTAAAGAACAATAGCTAATAGACTACAAAGTTACCATACAGGCAGAGTATGGTATGTAAATCTGTACATACCATACAGATCTGTAAATTAAATCCAAAATGCAATCAATTGCAAAAAATGAAACTGCGGAATCTCTCTCTGAAATACTGTACACATAATTTTTTCCCCTGGAATCCAGAGAGAAAACATCACTCTACCTTACATATATTTAGCTTGTAAATATTTCATCCTACCAACTTAACTTTTCCATCCAGAACACAGCCATAAACTTAAAGAACATATTTTCCCTGCAAAAAGGTATACACTCCCTTCTCTGACTAAGTAACTTTTTACTAAAAAAGAAAACAAAAACATTTCAAGCAGACTAAAGAGCACACAGGGCTAACCTGAAGAGACTGGGAGATGCGCTCCTAAATTATACTATGTTTGAAAAAAGAGAGTCAAGTCCCAGATCCCACACTAGTATAATACAGTAAACTTACAGAGGAAAATAAGAAAGAATCTGCAGATGAGTCCTTGCATGTTCCCCCAGAAAAGAAACCATATATGCACTTGGGTACTGACTGCACTTTTTTTGTAGCTGCCAGGGGTCAAACGCTTGACACCGGTAAAAAAACCCACCAACAAACACCCCACCCCCCCAAAAAAAAAAAACTATAGGCAGCCTTGTGTAGAAGTTTTTTTGGAAGAGGTTCTTAGTCCTCATGATGTGAAGAAGCACAATTACCACAAGTCATAACACAAAGAGGCCTTAGATGTAGAACAAAGATCAGCCTCACTAATTGACTTGCTTGCATCCCTATCTCAAATTCACATCTCTCTCAGTCAAAAGCTCATCTTGAAAGAATTAGGTTTTCCCTTCCTCTACAGTGGCTATCCCTTATTTATACTTATCCAGTGACTAAGTAATACTCCTCCAGCTCTTCAAAACTTGCATTATCCCTCTCATTAGTACTCAACACTGAAGACATAAGTTGGGGAGGTTTTCTTTCTGATCATAAAAGGTGGTAGGCAAATTAGCAGAGAATCTTCTCAGAAAGAAATATAAGGCATTTGTCTATTTCTCCATTTTGTCCATCTGATTTTTGTTGAAAACTTATTTACAAGATCAGCTAGTATCCTCCCTGTACTCTGTGATCCCCTTGGCAATAGACTCTTCAGCTATACAAGGCTAATCACTATTCCTAAGTCATTCCTAAAAAGCAAGGCATTTGTTCAGAAGACAACTTCAGAATTTAAATGAAACACTTAAGTCAGCCACCTGTTTTGGTCTATTTACAGGACTACTGGAGACATGACTCTTATCTGAAATGCAGTTACAGTACATAAAGGCTCCAACTGCCAAGAAAATCCTTGATTTCTACTGCACCTAATTTAGAAATTATGTACTGGAAAGAGTTTCTATTTAAAGCACAAGCATAATAAAAGTAGACGAAACCAATACCTTTTGAGTAAATATATTCATGCTATTCTATTACTGCAGAAACTGCAGTCGTTCTACTGCTATGTTTTAACTGACACTGAGTGACTGGACAACAAATTTAATTAAAGTTCATTTGCTCCATAGATTCACTTTTTTTTTGTGGCTGAACAAGGTGCAGCACAGGCTGTGGCTGATTCGATCCCTGTGCAACATTTGACTGGTAAAGTGGCTATTACCTCAGAAAAGAAGAGGGGCCAACCATAATTGTCTTTTAGGCTGAGGGCACTCTTTGGACCTTATTCTCCACTCAATTGATTTTTTCCATTAAAACCTTGAACACTTCCCTCCTCCCCCAAAAACAACCATCTTTCACACCTCTATTTCCATTGCCAAATGTGGTTGAAATCAAACATGTTTCCCAGAAACTGGCAGGAGGTGGAGGGCAGATGGGAAAACAACATGGCTTTAAAGATGACTTACTGCCTTAGAGAAACCAGACTAAAAGCAGTAGTTTACATTTTATGACAAGGTTTTCAAGTTATGAAATACATTTGCTTAAAATATCTTAAAATACTCTACATTGCTCTATATTTGAAGTATTAAGTAGATAAGAAAACTGATGTGTCTTTTCAAATTGTTACCTCAACGATATCTGAGTTGGTTCTGCTTTCATGGGGCTCGTTGTATTCTGTGTATTTAAGTAGAACTTTGTCCATATCAGTGCTGGCATACTGAAAGAGTTTGTTAGAGCTGTTAAAAATGATGAGTGCTATTTCACAGTCACAGAGTACACTCAACTCATACGCCTTCTTCATTAATCCAAACTTCCTCTTTGTAAAGGTGACCTGGGGGGGGGGAGGGGGAGAAAAAAAAAAGTCGTTATTCTTTAACACATGACAAGGGTTTGAAGGACTCTAATCAAGCACTCAAGGAATATAGCAATTGAGCCTACACTATTTATTCCTACTAACAAGCGACATAACTGAACATGTGTACAAGCTTAAAAGAAGAACTGCTTATCATATTTGGGTGCCACTTTTAGGGCCAATGCTCTGTATTAGACTAAGCTAAACAATTACAGCCCCCCACCTCTTCCACTGGTATATAACTACCAAGGAGAGTTAAAGTTTGTAGGATCCTCTAACCGTATTTCCTTCTGTTCAACCAACATTGACTTTCCAGGTATCACAATATTTTCTTCTGTGATGATCAGTTATTCTATAACTAGTTTACAAGTTACTCACAACCTTAATTCTAATAAAAATCAAAGAAAACAGCAGTATCGATGGAAGCAACACTGTTACTATGATTCTATGATTTCTAATTATGCACAGCTAAGAAATATGCTTATTTTGTTGCTATTAAACCATCTAATCAAATTCACTTATACTTTTAAGCTGTTTTCTGCCACTTGGGAACATCATGAAACAATCATTCTGTCCAATTAGAACTGCTGTGGGGAAATAAAACCATTACAGACCATCACAAAGGAGCATTTGCCTATCGGGGAAGGGGGAGAGACAGTTATAAAAATCACCATCAAGTATGGAAAAAAGAAGTTTAAAAAATTATTCCTTTCACAAGATTTCAGTTAGTTAAGGATATAAGGGTATCAATGTATTTGACATCAAGTTGAATCAAACACAGGTCTAATGCTAAGACCAGCTTTTCGTCAAGGATAATATTTTTACTAAACATCCTCTTCAGTGTCTCAAAAAGGCACTTAATCTACTACTATGAAGTTAATGTTCTGAGACCTTTCAAATAAAGATGCTATTTTCAGATCTAGCCTTTCAATCTGAGCTTCAGTGTTGAGGGGAACACCTCTGTCTATGGCCATATTCACCCCCCCATATTACAATTCAAAGTATACGCCTCTGTGACGGGTGAGTGACCTACATGCCCTACATGTTTAACAGACAATAGTGAGAATACTTTTCCAAGATATGGAATGAAGTAAAACACAAGAAACAATCAAACCTGTTTTATGGGTTTCTATAGTTTAACATGTTAATTACTACCTAGGTGTACATCAAGTTTTTGGAAGATGGATGGGAAAATTCTGTGTATACACACCTCAAGGCATTTTTTCCAGAGATGAGTATCTCATGCATATTACTTTCTTAATACTATCCATAATATAAAATATATACTATCCTTCCCACCACAGGGTCTCAGAGGGATGCAGACAGAAATACTAAAAACATTATGTACATAGCATGCTGACAAAAACTATTATTACAACAGTATGTGCACACTTTGCTCTTCCACCACAAATGATTGCAAAGGTACTGTGGACCTGAGATGCCTCTCCAGCTGTAAAATAGTATCATAGAATCCTAGAATAGGGTGGGTTGGAAGGGACCCCTAAAGGTCATCTAGTCCAACCCCCCTGCCATAGGCAGGGACCCCTTCCACTAGATCGGGTTGCTCAGAGCCCCGTCCAACCTGACCTTGAATGTTTCCAGGCATGGGGCATCCACCACCTCTCTGGGCAACCTGGGCCAGTGTTTCACCACCCTCAGCGTCAAAAATTTCTTCCTTATACCTAGTCTAAATCTACCCCCCTTTAGTTTAAAGCCATTCCCCCTTGTCCTGTCACAACAGGCCCTGCTAAAAAGTCTGCCGCCATCTTTTTTATAAGCCCCCTTTAAGTACTGATAGGCTGCAATAAGGTCTCCCCGAAGCCTTCTCTCCTCCAGGCTGAACAGCCCCAACTCTCTCAGCCTTTCTTCATAGGAGAGGTGTTCCATCCCCCTGATCGTTTTTGTGACCCTAAAAAATTGTGTTCCTCTTCACGGAAATCTTTAGTAGAAGGCGAAAGATTTATACGATCTGAAGAGAAACCGTAGTAGTACCCACATCCATTAAAAAGAAACAAACAAAAAACTGCCTGTTTTAACATGTGCCCCCTCCCCCCAAAAATGCACCGTGCCTATGATTTTTGAAAACCTGGATTGTTAACACTTAGCCACAGTAGGAATGGAGGTAATAAACAGAAGACCTAGAAAGATGAGAATATGGAATGTCGGGCATATTATGATAGCCATAGTTCCACCTAAGTTCCTGTGCAGTGTTTCTAACTTAGAAACTTCTTAGGGTTTAAAGACCACTAATCACAGAGCCTTTTGCGAGGCTTGAATAATCCGTGTTCAGATAAAAAGTGAGTACTTACCGTAACTTTTTTATTCAACCTTTTTAAAGCACATTTGGTGAGAAGCTCCATTAAGATACAGCACTCTCTCTGAAACAATTTTATGTAAGAGTGCTGTAACACATTCAAGGTTCAACTAGGGTAAGCAGATCTTTTTAGCTACTTATTGTTTAACAATTACAATACATTAGTGAGACAAGATGCCAAAAAATCTGACAGACTTTACCTTAATGTATCTTCTGTTAGTATTTTACTTTCAGTTATCAATTCAACAAGTTGACCAAGTACAAATGTAGGTTTCATGGGGCTGTACTTTTCCCAAGTGCAGGTGGAAATTTTACTATCCACATATAATACAAAACAGCTGCTTTTTAAAAACAGATCTTGTGTAAGTCTCCTAGCGGTTCTATCACTTTACACATGTCTTCTTTCAGAACACTTGGGATTTATTTATCCTGTCTTGGATGGGACATTAAGAATTCTTTGGATTCCTCTGGGGATCTGGGGAAACTGTGGGGTTTTTTAAGTAGCTGTTGTTGTTGTTCTAGATACTTCAATCACAAGACACTTAAGAGATTATTACCCAAGTATGAGCACATATAGACAGATACTACTGTTTAGTTTTTGTCAGGAAAAAGGCATTGTAAACAAGATGTGTGTATGCTGTATTACTTTGAGAAGTCATTAAATGAAAAGACTTGAAGGCTTAGTTCCACCAAGGACCTGTATGATCCCGGGCAAGGAATCTTAACTTCTCTACTGAAATGTTACCTTTCTGTCCTCTTGTAAGGCTATTTTACTTGTGATATTCTCAGCTAGCATTGATTTTTCACTTTGTGTTTGAACAGTGCTTAGCACAAACCCCACTACCACTGGAGTCCAAGCCTTACTTTAATGCACATAGACTATTATAAACTCAGTTTTCATTTAAGAACTCAGAAAGCAGAATATTAGTTCTGCAAATTTCTCTATTTTTTTCCTTGCCATTTAGTGTGCCATTTAGGACCACACTAAAAACAAGAATATGTATCTTTATTGCAGGCCAACGGCTTCCTCAGCACTACTCTAATACTGCTTAGCAAAAAAGGGCGAGAAGGAGACAGCAAAGGCAGCAAGATTGAGCTCCTTTGATATCTAATTTACTGTACTTTATTCTCTTCAGCCTAATGAAGATAAATGTCCTACAGCTCGTTCAAACAGATAAGACTGCTTAATTAATAATACAGTGACAGTCTCATGACAATTGTAATCCCCCAGAGTAATGGTCTACATATTCTGTTTTGAGCTCACATACAATCCCATCAGAAATAAGATGCTTCTGATAAAACAATAGCTTTTCTTCCCACACAAGTTATATGAATTTGCTCTGCAGCCAAAGCTCTATCCCATTCTACTCATATTTTCAAACAAAAAAAACCTAAGCATCATATTAAACATCTAAACAGGACACCATACGCATGTTCATGAGTAACCTACTAACCAGGTATGTATGCCATAGAAAAACTGACAGAACACAACTGAACTATACTTTCCGTTTGGCAAAACAACCCCCCTAAATGCCCTCCTTACCTGGGTCAACGAAAGAAATTCTCAAAAGTAAATTAATACCTAATAAATATCCTGTGCATCAGGACATTTTAGTATGTTGAAACTCTATATACTAGCTACCAAAACCACAGGACACCAGTGGAGTTAGAGAATACCATCAATACCTCTACACAAAGAATTTGGCTCCACTAACAAGAACTATTTAATCTCTTTAAAACCTTTTAAAAACAAAATGCAGTATGTTATCTCAGAGTTTCCACAGAAAAAGGATAAGGCAAGCCTAATTCCATTTTTAAGTTAGAGCTTAAAGCCTCTTCCTAGTCACTAAAAAGCCCAAGAGAAGTACTAGCCAAAGACCAGCCAGAAACAAAACTTAGAAATTAATCCCCATATTTTGCTTCAGTCACAGCAATGGTACAAGTGGGCTAAAATTTGATACAAATGCACTAATTCTCCTCCTCGCCATTGTTGCAATCTGAACAATGAGATGGAGATCCAAAAAAACACCCAACCAATTCCCCCTGGAAAAAAACCCACCACACCAAAGTCAGGGTATAACAAAATTTGTATTTCAAGCAGAACAAAAACATGGTTATCCAATTTACTCCAAATAAGTTTAAAAAAGGGGGGAGGGGGATCAATTTCCACCTCTTCAACATGCCTGAAGTTCTAGAGCAAGATATGAAAGAACTGAAGTTATTAATTCATCTACTTTTACTACATGTACTTAAGACATTTATCGACATCAAACATACAGTCATTGTGTGATTAAAGCTGTTCAAACACAATACTTGGCTTTCTCCCAAACGCCAATAATACTTTTCTTGCTATATATAGTCTTCTCAGAGTTTACACTGCTTTAAAGTGATACAGGGAGAAGAACAATCCTGATTTCACAAACAAAACAATGGGCTCTGAGTTGATATGTCAGCAGCGAGACAGTCTCATGGAATTCTGACGCTACCCCAACATCAAGTTGGTGCTCAGAGGAAGTTAAAAAAGCAAATCAAATACTAGGAAGGGAACAGAGAACAAACATCAGTACACCGCTATGCAAGTGCATGTTTTGCCTGCATCTTGAACACTCTGCAGTTCTGGGTCCCTCTGCCACCAAAAATAAGGTAGCAATACTCAAGAAGGTTTAGGGAAAAGTAGTGACAGTGGTCAAAGGTGTGGAATAAATTCTGTATTAAAACAACTAAGTAAGCTACGGTGCTTCAGCCTGAAAAAGTTATTTTAAGAGAAAATAAGAAAACATGGCAGAGGTCCACAGAATAACAAGATGGACAGACTAGATAGGGAGTGACTGCTGCCTTTTTCATACAAGAGCTAAATAACTAGCAGAACCCCAACTAAGCATAAATGAAAAGGTGTTTCTTGAAACAACAGGTAATAGACCTATAGGAAATCCTAGCCAAAAGATGCTGCAAATGCTGCAACTTTGTAAGGGTTCAAAGGATAACTGAATAAGTTCAGTGGCAGGGGGTGGAGAAAACAAAAAAATCCATTAATGGTTACTAAATATAGGGAAACCACATCCAGCTCAGGAAATCCCTGAGCTAAGAATAGTTAGAAGCTAGAAGAGGGTTACAGAGTACTGTAATATGCATCTCTATCCTACGCTTATTTACTTATGACCATCATTGGATGAAAGATACTGGCCTAGCAGCATCTTTGGTCTGACCCACTATGACTATTCTTAAAGATCCTAAGTCATTCCTACAATACCTTTCCTTAAAAATGGTAGCTTCCAGATACCCCACTCTACATTTCAATATCCAATTAAAATTTTATTTCATATGTCATGTAGCAATTTAGAAGTTAAGAGTAAACACTACTGCTGTACAGTCATGAACTTTTGATACTTTTCAAGTTCACAGGACACCTCTTTATTAGGGCAAGAGCAACCAAGTAAGCAGCTTTCCCTAAAACAGTGCACTTTCAAGTACTCTTCCCTTTTGACTGACAATTTTTAAAGACTGTTGTAGTAAACAGCTCTTACAAGGAATATAAATCAATGTTTTTAAATAGAATCATGTTAACAAAATTCATTATTATATCCAAAACACTTTAGATCATTGTCCACAGCTATGTCAAACTCCTCTGTCACAGAGGCTGCAGCAAATACTTTTACTACATCCTTTCTGAATTTCTCTTCCTTTCTCCATCTTCATTACTAAGCGTTCCTAGTAGCTATCAGATCAATTAAGGTGTCTATTCAACACGGTCCTCCAGTCTACTAGAAGTACAGACTAGGCTACCATTTATATAGGAATACTGGTTTTACAGTGACTTTGATTTAAAGTCGTAATTGATATTACTTATAAATAATAATTTCCCCTAAAACAGTAGTAAAACATTGAGACATATTTCTTATTTGTATTCTGGTAATGCCATCTGTAGATACATGAAGACAAAGCTCAGCTTTAGAAGAGTAAATTAAGATGAATGCATTCAAAATTTCCATTAATTTTTAGGATTACTGATGAACTTGTTCATGCAGACTCCTTGTTTCTCACCTGTCTGTTCCGTTCATCCATTATTCTTGTGATCTGTATTTTCTTCCTCCCCATTTTCAGCCTCTTCTTTCTTTTGCTGTGCAATCCAGAAATATACTAATCCAAGAAATTTCACTCTTCAGTATTCTAACACATGATACGGTTTTCTTTTACTTTGTCTTCAGCTTAAGAAAGGTTCCTGTTTCTTCTTATAAACCCCTAAAAAATAAGATTTTGAAAAAATTAATTTACAAATTAATAAAGAGGAAGCATCACTAAATGCTTGTATAGCTGTAAAACATGTGCATGCATGAAAAAATTTTAGTGAAGAACCAAGTATTTTCATTAGTAAAATATTACACTACATACTTTGTTCCAATTAAGTAAACTCCAACAAGTTTGCCAGATTCTAAATCTGTAGTTTGTGGGTAAAATGACCAATAATTTCATACACTTTCAATTGGATACCTTAAAAATTTACAGTTGTCAAAGGAGGTGGTGCTCAGTACTCTAAGCTTTAGGCTTTGAGTGATCTGAGGTTTCAAAAATTTACCCACAAAGTTTTGGTTAACTCCATTCATTATTTTAGGAAACCTTACAGAGAAACCGCTTTGTGTTTCCTGTTTGTCTTGTAAAATTATCATCAGTATAATGAAACAAAGCCATGAGAATACCAAGTTTCTGTTACCAAACTAAATTACCTCATTTTGTAAGACAGTATTTGGAGTTTTATTGGGAAGCAGGAGGGAGAAGGAAAGAGGGAATCTCTTTACTTTAAAAGGATAAAGACCACAGAAAATATTTTCACAACAGAACTATTTCACAGCTACCAAGACACCAATGAATAATTAAGACATTCACACAGTTACTCTCTCTGCAATACCCTGTAAGTTGCACATTTGCCAATAACGAATTACCAGTCCAGCACTTGTTTCATTTTGGTAAATTGTTTAGAGAGATAAGGGTGCATGCAACTTGAAAAGCCAGTGTGCCATCGTAATATTTTAATCTGGTACTAATACACCAAACTGACTTGTAGAACCGATATTTAACAAACTTTAAATGCATTTTCGGTAAAAAAAAAATTGGTAAGCCATATTCCAAACATACTGCTTGAACTGTAGGGTAACATTAATTCAACAAAACTGGAGAACAATTGAAAAGAAATAGCCTCTAGAACATCAAAACATGAAATAGCTACACCTTATTCAATTACCAACTAATATTCATTAAAATAAAAGGGGTAAAAACAGCCACAATATTAGCTTATAACCTCTCTAACTTCCCAACCCAAAATGCCTTTTGAAATTAAGCCTTGCGTATTTTAATATGGGTGTCACAATGCCATATCCATGAGGCCATGTGTAGAAAGTGGTGCAACCACATCACCATCAGACAGCTAATAAGCAGAGACAGGAAGAGGCAATTAGTCACAGGCTACACTTCACAATACATTCAATTTACACTGAGGAGACAACCATGACATTCTGACGTGGGGGGTGGGGGTGAGGGGGGTGGGAAAGAGGTGTAAGAAGATCACAAAATGAAGGAATGCCATTTTATATATACCTGATATCAACAAAGGACTGCTTTGGTAAAATATCATAAAATGCCCAACAGTATTTAGCAATACTATTCCATGGAATTTAAGATCAAATGAACACTAAGATTATGTGATGCCCATTGGTCAAAAGGATATGCACTAGATATTTTTTATACATCAAAACACTTAAAAGCATGCATCAGTGTTGCACTCCTTTTATTTTCTTCAAGAAAAACATTTCTTCCAAGGTACTGCTAAAGAGGTATTAATAGCTAGCTAAGGCCAGGTGAACAAGCCTCTACACAACCAATAGCACACAGCAAATATTTTACGTGGAGAGCAACAGCTAGCATATAAATTTATACATTTTTTGTTAAAAAACCCAGCAAGAATATCCACTGGACTCTAAGCTTTAATTCACAAAGCATTCAGTCTTAAGTCAGCTGCCCCACTCTCTTAAAAAAAAAAAAAAAACACACCACCTCAGCTCATGCTATGATCACACATTAAATTTAGTTTCACAAAAATCTGGTTGCATTCCTTGAACACACCTAATAAAAGGGTCTCTATAAGCAGCCCTTAAAATTTGTTTTCTCCTTCATGTGTGGCTTCATTTTTTAAATAACTGTACATTACTGAAACAGTTCTCTGAATACAGAATTACCAGATTCCTTCCTCTGCTTTTTAAAAGCACTCACCATCATAACTAGTACATACAAATAGCCACCACATGTGAGATCAAAGATCCATCTGGTCCAGCATTTTATCTGTGGCTATTAGCAAATATCACTAGGATGGTAAAGGAGGGACATAGGAATAGAATAAGCATATGTCATTTAACAGCAATATTTATAAAGCATTTTCTCCAGATATTCAGTGATTTTTGAATCAGGAACTTCTGAAGTCATAGACAGAATCTTTGATTTAAAGCTGTTCATCAAATCTTCTTCCATGAATATTACTTTTGAATCTGTGTAAATTTTTAGCACCTAGAAGCTAGGAGTTCCACAGCTTAGTTATGCATCACAGTAGAAGATACATCCTTTCATTTAAGCCTGATGCAGCTAATTATATTTGGTATCCACAGATTTTTAATTATACGAGGCAGTAAACAAAGTCATCTTCACCTTTCACATTAGTCCTGATTTTGATGCCTATATTGTATCTTCCTTCAGTTACCTTTACCTTTACTCAAAACTAAAGAATCCTACTCCAATCAATCACTTCTTACACAAAAGCCATTCTCTGGCCAGCCATCCTGTTCTCTTCTCTACCCTTTCCAGTTACACACTGTTCTTTCTGAAACAGAAGGACACACAGTGTGTACAGTATACAAGATATGAGGTATATAAAATTTTATTATAATCTACCATAAATTTATACACAAGCATAACAATACTTTATGCTCTACTGCATTAGACATACACCTAAGCAAATTTACTAGTTCTCAAAATTTTCCTAAGGAAACAGACCTATGCTCCAGAACACAATTTTAAAACCCCTATGTGGGACCACACACTTTCTTCATACAGTCCTATCTCATTCACTCAGCTCTTCCACCTTCTGCAACAGATATTCAAAAGCAAGTCTATGCAGTGAATTAAATAAGGAGCTCATGGGAGAACAGGGTAGAGAAGAAGATAAATATGAGGTGAGATTACAATATATATACTTAAGCATACAAAATAAAAGATATGCACAAACGTTTTCCATGAGCTAATGGAAGAAACAAGAGCAGGGAAACACTATTATCTGCTGCACATACCATCACACAAAGGGAAATGGGAAAACTGACAGTACTTTTCACCAACATTTCGTTATAGTTTTTCAGGTCTTTTAAAATTAGTATGCTCTATTAAGCACAAATGCATCAACCCATTTCCCATTTACGACCTCTGCTTCACCGTCTTTAATCAGTCCACTGTTGCCTCTCATCTCAGGTCCACTACTTTCTTCAACCTCAAGTGCTTTTCTCACTTAGCAAATTCCAAATTCCTATTTGCATGTTGGTCCCCATCTGGGTCCAGCCAGCGACAGCCTCTCCTCCGTCCCCACAGGTTGCTATGGACACCAGAAACCTGGCTTTGAAACACATTTGCCAAAGGCAACCCAGCTCTGAAATACAGCATCCCTTTCATTTTGAAATCACATACCAGATGATTTTCAAAGCTAAGAATTGAAACGTAAGTTTGGCATGAGCTTAGGGTAGAAAGGATCTTGACACTAACTGCAAAATCAGAGTAAACTGTGCAGTAAAAAGCCACTTTTCATGTGTGCTTAGAACATCCCAATGGGAAGTTACCACCAATGACAAATGCATATTACATTTCTAATGGGAGCAATGACTTTTCCTTAGAAAAATCCTTGATCACATCAGAGTTGCAGTTTTATTTTCCATACTGACTAGCAACAAAACTATATAAGATAAGGTATAAGACTGTGTCCACTATATGGTTACATCAAAAATGTAATTAGCAAAGTTTTAATTTTGCATTGCAAACATACTTAGGTAAAATTCTTAAGTCAAAGCCATTTCATCTAGATCATCAATAAACTTTTGCCCAAATAAAGGAAAATTAGCAGACATGTATGAAGATCAATGCACATTTATTTCTGAAAGTAAGCGTGAAACTAATGTGAAGTAACCTTGACAAAGGTAAAGTTCTACTTCCTTAAGTGACAGAATCAAATTACAGCCACCAAAACTACTTTACATTACTTGCATGGGCACACGGAAGCAAAATATTTTTTTTTCTTTTTTTAAATAAGAATTTCAGGCATGTATTAAACAAAACAATGAGTAAGCAGAGAAAAAGAAGGAAAAAACCCTGTGTGCTTCATGATGAGCTTCAAACAGAAAATAATGTCAGCTTGCAATAATAGCAAGAAAAATTATATTTGTACCTGTCCAAGTAAAAGCCTCTATTATTCTATAAAAGTAAACTTGATTCCAAATTTTCTGGATTTATTCCCTTCCCCAACGCATGTGAAAACACCACACTAAATACTGAAAGACAATAGAACCATATGCAAAAATAAACCCTCATGACTGCATATTTTCAGCAACTCAGATCAGTTCGTTTGTTGTCAAGGTTGCTTACGGTTTCATAAATAGTGAGAGACATACAACTTTAAAGCAAGGAAACAGTATTTGACCTATTTAAAAAGATTCTTTCAAGGGTTCAGTGGAAACAAATTATATCTGTGCAGAACTCCAAAAGGTCTTGAAGCCTTCTGGCAGAACAGGTTAGGAAAAACTGAGTCAGAATTATACTCCTTCCATTTATTTTCCTTTTACTTCCCTCTGCCTCTCTTTGTTTTCTTGGAACTTCCATTTCACCATCATGGCTACAGGTTACATTTGACAGTAACTGTCTCATCACAGCTCATTTACTGAAATGCACACAAAGAAATGAGTGTCATGATGTCAGATAATTTGCATGATAACTCTCAAAAGCCACAGCTGCATGAAAACACAGATCTGTATAGATGCATCTTACACTGGTAAGCCTTAGGTAAGGCTTACTAACTAGCACACAATTTTGACTACATCAAGGCTAATAGGTCTTTTTCCAGTCTTAAAAGAGCCTATGCACATATTTTTGTAGATTAGGCCCCTAAGCGTGATCTGACAGGCAAAGACTGCACAACCATACCACGGTCAAACTGCACATTC